GCAGTATGACATTAGATACATTTATATATGTTTAAAGCATAAAACAATTCTTGTTTAGAAAAATACTCAATTGTGGTAAAAGCATAAGAGCTATTAAACAAAGAAATATAAAGGTTTTGTAAAAGTATAACTATAAAAGCTTTGTGAAAGAATAATTCCTGAATTAGTCTCCTTCAATTATTCTATCTTACACGCAACCTGAGCCACTCATTCTAATAGTTCACACCCTAAGCCTTGTCAACAGATCTTTATCAATAACTGTGACCCCTGCAAAAATTTCTATAAAGTGCATCCTGACCATCTAATTTCTTTCCTGATCACTCCTCTAGCACCTCAACTCCAACAATCGTGTACCCATCAGCATATCCCAACCATCATTCATTTCTAAATCTCCACTGCTCCTAACTTCCTTATTGACTTCTCTCCTTCCTTAACCAGTTCAAATTCTCTTACAAACATCCTCAAGTTGCCTTGCCATTCTTTCACTTCAAAATGACTTTACAGAAACATAATACATTAATCTTCAAAATGCTAAGATAGAAAGATCTGAAAACTAGGATTTTATACCTAGCCAAATTATCAATCAGATATGATGGGAAAGCAAAGATATTTTCATTAATAAAATAACTCAATGTTTATCATTTATTCACACTATTTTTAAAAAACCTCAAGAGTTATTCCAGAAAAAGAGCAAACAATTCCAAGGAGAGGAAGAGGAGGTTTAATTTTCTGTGGCAGTAGGTTTTGCCCATAGAAGATAGAAAAAATTAAGAAGCTGTTAGACCCTGATGCCTAAAAGATCCTCTTCTGTCAAAGCTCTTTGCTAGTATCTATATATATAAAAGCCTAAGTGACCGTTCAACTGTTTGACCATTCGACTGGTAGCTATGACACACACTGACTACCAGGGGCATAGGCATGGAAACATGGAACAGACTGATGAATCTCAGAGGGAAGAGGGGAAGGGTCAAGGGCGGGAAGAGATTAACCAAAGGTCTTTTATGCATACTAGAGGCGTGGTGCACGGATTCATGCACCGGTGGGGTCCCTCAGCCTGGCCTGCAGGGGTCGGGCAAAAACTGGCAATCTGACATCCCCCAACAGGTCCCGGATTGCAAGAGGGTGCAGGCCAGGCCAAGGGACCCCACTGGTGCACAAATCCATGCAGTCAGCCTCTAGAAATAATATACTTTTTACTCAATAGTTAATATTATTTATATGTTCAAAATACTGTAAAATCCTATCTATTGGTTTAATTATTAAATCAACCTGTATATAAAGTACTAACGTTCTATAGACAATGGATATGAGAAGTGTACAGTTATTTTACATCTCTTATTTTTCATAGCACATAATAAATGGACATTGTCTAAGGTAAATGGGTACTACTTAAATAGTAAAATATAAATAGCAAAAATATAAATATTAAAAAGCATCATATGTATAATATGCATTATATAATATGTATATATACATATAATAGGTAATACTATATTTTAATAAATATTTTTATAAATATTAAAATAATAACGATATCCTATATAATAAAACCCTAATATGCAAATTGACCAAATGGTGGAATGACCGGTCTCTATGACGCACACTGACCAGCAGGGGGCAGACGCTCAATGCAGGAGCTGCCCCCTGGTGATCAGTGCACTCCCACAGGAGGAGCGCCACTCAGCCAGAAGCTGGGCTCATAGCTGGCAAGTGCAGCAGTGGTGGCGGGAGCACTAAGGACCCCTCAGAGGATGTCCGACTGCCAGCTTAGGTCCAGGCCTAACCCAGCAAGCAGACATCCCCCCAGGGGTTCCGGACTACAAGGGCTGAGGGACCCCCCGCCCCCACTCCAATGCACGAATGTCATGCACTGGGCCTCTAGTATATATAATAGAGTGGGCTAAATATGTATCGTGATTGCTTCCTGAATGTGAAGAGGCCAGATTATATGAATTTCCTTATACATTCTCATATGTACTTTTAAAAATTGACATGAGCCCTAACCGGTTTGGCTCAGTGGATAGAGCATCAGCCTGTGGACTCAAGGGTCCCAGGTCCGATTCCAGTCAAGGGCATGTACCTTGGTTGCGGGCACATCCCCAGTAGGGAGTATGCAGGAGGCAGCTGATCGATGTTTCTCTCTCATCGATGTTTCTAACTCTCTATCCCTCTCCCTTCCTCTCTGTAAAAAATCAATAAAAAATATTTTTAAAAAATTTGACATGAATAAAATTATTTTCTAACTTAAAAATTTATATAGTACTTAAACTTGATTTTTTAATATATTTTTATTGATTATATTGATTTCAGAGAGGAAGGGAGAGGAGAGAGATAGAAGCATCAATGATGAGAGAGAATCATTGATTAGCTGCCTCCTGCATGCCTCCCACTGGGGATCGAGCCTACTATCCAGGCATGTACCCTGACCTGGAATCGAACCGTGACCTCCTGATTCATAGGTTGATGCTCAACCACTAAGCCACCCCAGTTGGGCTTAAACTTGTTTTTTGAAAGAATGAATAGGGTGGGTAAGTGACTCAACAATTATTTCACCTTTCTATGATGCATCTAATTGTACCAATAATTTATTTATATAAAATATTTCAGTATTATAAATATTTAAAATACACATAGAATTTTATTCTAAATACTATTTGAAATATTTTGTAAATTTTTTATTATCCTTTTTATCATTTGTTTTTAATTTGAAGCTATTTTATCTGACTATTTCTCCAACTTTATCTCTATAAGCAAAATTCTACTCGGGTTACAGAAATTTCTTTGCAGATAATTTTTCATGATACACTATTCTATATATTAAAGAATGCATACACATTTGATATTTTTATTTCACTTTAACTTCTAAATATTTGCAACAAGACACTTGTTCTACAGAATACGTTTCCTTCTGTACACTTCAAATTTTCTTTTATACTTCAAATTTTTAAGTTATTAAAAACAAATGCAGTTTCTAAGTATAAATATAAATGTAAACTATATAAAATAATGCTATAATATTGGGTAATTTTTAAATATATAATTTTAAAATAATTACATACCAAAGCAATCCCTGCAGAATATTGAGCAGTACACATCTTTCCAGGAAATGTTGCTCCCACATCATTTGGATAATCTCTATACCTAAATAAAATAAGTATACATTAATAATTCATTTCAACAAACATTTCAAATGTGAGAATTCCTGCTAATAATTTGTCTGTAGTCATAAAATCCTAGTCTGAAGCAAACTGACTTCCATGTGTACTTAATTGTTTCAAATTAAGGTTTTCTTAATTAAATGAAATTAAGCACTCTGGATTTCTAAAACATATCCAATGAACCCAAGTTTTGTTGGTTTCCTTTACTGTTCTCATCACAGTTGGTTAAGTCTACCAAAGCCTTTAATCAAACATTTTGATTGTAAGCATTTTTCTGAATGACAATAAAAACTAGTTTTAATGTATGGATTGAAAATATTCACTGTCATGTAGAAAAGCTCATTAGTTTCTCAGAGGAATAAGTTTCTTATCCTACAATTTAATATTATTTCTGCTTTGAGTAAGAGCCCATATAAATCATTATGTAATAACAGCACTATTTTAAGAGATCTACATAAGTTATTCCATTTAATACTCAAATAAGCCAGTGAAATATATTATTTTTATCCCCACTTAAAAAAATCAAACATCAGATGCTAAATATGGTAACGTTCTCAATGTAGCACAAATGATAAGTGCCACTAAAGGACTGGAATGTAGACAATCTGAATCCAGATCCATACTCTCAACCACAAGGTATAGAAGCTCCAAACATAAATGTCATCTTTAGAGCCCCAATCAAAACAAACATTCCAGGATATATGTAAACAAGCTTGGTATTCAATTCTCAATTTGAAGTGCCCCTTTGGTGTCAACTGCACTTTACCTCACAACTGCATGGTGTATCCACTGCTGCCTTATTATGTCTCTCTGCTATTATTTATACCTAACCCCTCCAGCCCTTGTTTTCAAGTATTTGCTCTTGACACCCAACCTTGGCTTTACATTCCAATATTGTTTACACTCTTTCTTCGTCCAAGATAGTTCTCTATTTAGGTAAACCCCCCCCCCCAACCAAAAAAATAATCTATGCATACCTTTGATGAGCTGGACTCAAGAATAGTTTTTACTTAATATTGCCCACCACCTAGTCTCCACATCAAATCAGTTGTCAAGATCTAATGTTTTACTTCTTCAATGTTTCTGATATCCTTAACCTCCTTCAAAGGTTCATAGTTCCAACTATGAGCATACATACACTTTATATGTAAGTGCATAGTTTTTTAAAATAACCAGAAATTATTTAATCTTATTGATTCCATAACCTGGAATGTTTGAAACCTCCTTTATACGAATTTAAGTGTGCCTAACTTTGCCTTCCCACTTCTAATTACCACTTCTTTGAGTTTTATATGTTACTTTGAATCACTCCCACCCACCCACCCATCTTTTGTTCCCTTGTAAATTACAAGCAAGTGGAGATAATGTACTAGTATTAATCTTATGGATTGGCATAAGCAAGATGGGCAGAATTAGAGTTTTTAGCCACCATGTCCCCACAGAAACAAAGATTATTACAACCACCCACCAATGAGAATAACTTTGTGAGAGTCCAAGAGTCCAGAGGAAAGGTCACAGTGCCTCACTGGGGTGAGGAAAAAATCCAAGAATAGCTCTAGCCAGTTCAGCTCAGTGGATAGAGCATCTGCCTGCGGTCTGAGGGGTCCTGGGTTTGATTCCGGTCAAGAGCAAATGCCTAGTAGCAGCTCGATCCGCAGTAGGGGGTGTGCAGGAAGCATCCAATCAATGATTCTCTCTCATCATTGATGTTTCTACCTCTCTCTCCCTCTCCTTTCCTCTCTGAAATCAATAAAAATATACATATTTTTAAATCCAAGAACAGATGCTCCAAAGAAGGTAAGAATATTTCAATTTAGTCATGTCACCATTCCCCAAAAGCAGCACAGCTCAGAGCTAAGAAAGATGCCTTCAGCCATTATTTCTCCCACAAAAGAGACTATCCATTAGGTCTCAGAACAAACCTCAATAAATTCAAGAAGGCTGAAATTATATGAAGCATTTTTCTAACCACAATGGCAGGAAACTAGAAATCCACTATAGAAAGGAAATTGAAAAAATACAAATCCATGGGGAATAAACAACATCCTACTAAACACCGATATATCAAAGAAGAAATCAAACAGAAAATCAAAAACCACCTTGAGACAAATAAAAATGAGAACACAACATTCCAAAATGTATGGAATGCAGCAAAAGCAGTTCTAAGAGGAAAGTTCATATCTCAAGAAATGAGAAAAATCCCAAACAACAATATAACTTTCCAACTAAAGGAACTAGAAAAAGAAGAATAAACAAACACCAAAGTAAAATAAAGGAAATAATAAAGATCAGAGTGAAAATTAATGAAACAGAGACTAAAAAATAGGAAAAATAATCAGTGAAACTAAGAGCTGGCTTCTCTAAAAGGATAAATAAAATTTACAAACCTCTAGCCAGGCAAATCTAAAAGAAAGAGTAAGACAGCCCAAATAAATAAAATCAGAAATGAAAAAAAGGAGTTATTTCAACTGATACCACAGAAATACGAAGGATCATTAAAGAAGACCAGGAAACAAATTGGACAACCTTGAATAAATGGATAAATTTCTAGAAACATATAACCATCCAAGACTGAACCAGGAAGAAACAGATAATCTGAACAGGCCAATCACTAGCAATGAAATTGAAGAAAAAAAAATCTCCCAAAAAACAATAGCCCAGGACCAAAAGGCATTACAAGTGAATTGTACCAAACATTTAAAGAAGAATTAATATAAACCATTATCAAACTATTTTTCAAAAAGGAGAGGAGAGAACACTTCCAAACTTATTTCATAGTCTTCATTACCCTGACACCAAAACTAGACAAGGACACTATGAAAAAATATACATATATAGGACAGTATCCATGATGATCATAATTGCAAAATTCCTCAACAAAATATTAGCAAATTTAATTGAATATTAGTATATCAAAAGGACCAATATCATGGTGTATTCCAGGGATTATTCCAGGGATGCAAGGATGGTTCAACATTTGAAAACAACAAAGTGATAATCCATATTAACAAAATTAAGGATAAACATCATATGATCATCTCAACATATGCAGTACAAGCATTAGAGAAAATTCAACATCCATTATAACTCTAACCAAGTATGTATAGAGGGAATATATCTCAACATAATATAAGCCATATATGACAAGTCAACAGCTGATATACTTAAAAGTGAAAAACTAAAAGCTTTTCCTCTGAGATCAGGAACAAGACCAGGATGCCCATTCTCACCAATGTTATTTAACATTGTATTAGAAGTACTAGCCAGAGCAAGTAGGCAAGAAAAATAAAAAGCATATATGTATTTGAATTGACCCCTTCATCATGATATAATGATCTTCTTTGTCTCTTATATCCTTTGCCTTAAAGCAGCGTTGCCTTAAAGCAGCGGTTCTCAACCTGTGGTGGTGGAATGACCCTTTCACAGGGGTCGCCTAAGACCATCCTGCATATCAGATATTTACATTACGATTCATAACAGTAGCAACATTAGTTATGAAGTAGCAACGAAAATAATTTTATGGTTGTGTCACAACATGAGGAACTGTATTTAAAGGGCCAGAAGGTTGAGAACCACTGCCTTAAAGTAAATTTTGTCTGACAGAAGTATAGTTAACCTAGAATTCTTTTGGTTTCCATTTTCATGGAATATATTATTCCATCCCTTCATACTCAGTTGGTGTGCATCCTTACATCTGAAGTGAGTCTCTTGTAGGCATCATATATGTGGATCTTGTTTTTTATACATTTAGCTATTCTTTTGAGAGAGATTTTATTCCATTTACATTTAAAGTAATTATTGATAGCTATGTACTTATTGCCATTTTATTCATTTTTTTTCTGGCTGTTTATAACTCTTCATTTCCTCTTCTCTTACTCTTTTTCTTTGGGATTTATTTTTTTTATAGCAGTATGCTTAGATTCCTTTTATCTTATCCTTTGTGTACATATTATAGGTTTTGGCTTTGTGGTTAGCGTGAGACATAAAACAACTTACATTTGTAACAGTATATTTTAAGATGAAAACAACTTCAGTTTATACATATCGTGAGACTACATTTTTGCATCCTCCATCACATTTTATGTTTTTGGTGTCACAATTAAATCTTTTTATCTTAACAAATTATTGAAGCTATGATTGTTTTTACTACTTTGGTCTTTTAATCTTCATAAGTAGCTTTGTAAGTGATTAATACCATCCCTCCATCTTTACAACATTATATCAAATTTGGAGATATATAGATATATATCAGTGAGATTTAAACTTTCAGATGTTTTCCTGTTATTAATTAACTAGAGGCCCGGTACATGAAAATTTGTGTACTGTTGGGGGGTCCCCTCAGCTTGGCCTTCCCCCTCTCACAGTCCAGGAGCCCTCAGGGGATGTCCTACTGACAACTTAGGCCTGCTCCCGCAACCCGCCCCCCCCCGCCCTGGGAGGTGGGGAGCAGGCCTAAGCTACAGTCTGGCCACACTCTGCGGGAGGCAACCGGCCCATCAGGGGAAGGCACCGCCCCACATCACCCCCTTGCTGCTGCTGCCTCTGGCCTCCCTCTACGGGAGGCAACCTGGCAATCAGGGGAAGGCGATGCCCCATCACACCTCTGCTGCTGCCAGTGATGGCCACGAGGCTGCCTGAGCCATGGCCCTCGAAGCCACTGCAGCTTGCCTAAGCCTCCACCCGGCCCTTGTTGCCTGAGCCTCGGGCCCTCACAGTGGCAGCCACCATTGGAGGCTTGCCTGAGCCTCTGGCCGGCCCTGGGCAGCAGCAGCCGCCATCAGAGGTTTGTCTGAGCCTCGGGCCAGCCCTGGGCAGCGACAGCCGCCATCCGCTCCCCTGATGCACCTCCTGGTCCAATCCCTGCCAGGGCCACAGTGTCAAGTTCCCGCCCATCCGCGCATCCTTGCAGCTCACACAGCCCGCCCACCACACGAGCCACTGTGCACGCAGCCTCCTAGTGATCACCCGTTGCGACATAAGGGCGTCACAGCGCACTATGGGCTTTTTATCCAGTATTAAATACCCTTTTCAATTTCAAGCTAAAAGATGTTCCCCTTTAACCATTCTTGTGAGGACCAGGTCAAACAAGGATGATTGATCCATTAAGCTTTGGCATTCTTGAAAAAACTGGTTTTTCTTACCCTTCCTTTCCCACTCCTGCCTTTGGAAGAAGTCCAGAAAATAAATAAAACTCCCTAAATAAGGCTACCATAATTATCTCAGGTCTTTTTTGTTTCTAAGAATACTGAACATTATTCTTACATGAATAGATATGCAATATCATGAGGCCTTAGGGTAAGATAAGATTTTTTCCATTCTAAAAATCTCTGCAATAATTCATCTGCCTCACCAACTGTAGAAATCTTATTTTTGTCTGACCACAACTCCAATGATGACAACACAATAGTAACATTAAGTTGGGCAAATACCTAAAAACAAAAGAGATAATACATGAAAAAATTATCTTTGTGTTATTTTTAATGACTGAGAAATTAATTCAATGTTTTGACAAATTTATGCTCAGTTTATGTGGACAATTATTCAGAAATGCCACATCAAGTTAATAAAAATTATAATCTTAAAACTACTATGAATTTTTCAAAATTAGTATGAAAATACTCACCGAATTTACAAGGCCAATAATTTCGATTACTTTATCTGTTGCTAACATGCTATCAGAGCCCAAATAATCATACTGAAAAACAAAATTAATTTTAAATTTAAATAAAAGTTTGTTATGCAACATGTTTAAGATTTACTCTCCATCTACTCTCAGAGGATTGAGGCTGCTTTGGGGTGAGAACCATTATAAATAAACCAGTAACAAATAAAAAAAATGGATGTAAATTGAGTCACTCATATATGCTGGTGGGAAAGTAAAATTATTCAGCCACTCTGGAAAGTAGTTTTGGAATGTCTTTCAAAATAAATAATGGCCTTACCACATGACCCAGCTGTAGTCCTAGGCATTTATCCTCCCAAAATAAAAACTAATACCTCTGCCAAAAAACAAACAAACAACAAAAAAAAACCCTACACATAAGTGTTCATAACAGTTATATTCATAAAAGCCAAAAACTAGAAACAACTAATAAATCTTTCAATGTGTTAACTGGTTAAACAAACTGTGGTATAATTATGCCATGGAATACTACTCAGTAATAAAAAAGAACTGAACTTTTGATACATGGAATAGCTTGGATAAACCTCAAGAAAAGTATGCTGAGTGTAAAAGAAATCTCAAAAGGACACATACTACATGATAACATTTATGCAATATTGCTGAAATCACAGATATAGAGAACAGATTAGTGACTGCCAGGGGTTAGTAAGTGTAGGAAGAGGAGATGACTGTTATTGTAAGAGGAAAACATGAAAGAGGCTTGTGGTTATGGTATAGTTGAGTGTCGTGACTGTGGGGTAGTTATGCAAGGCTACATTTGTGATACTTCCACATAAAACTACACACACACACACACACACACACGAGTGTATATATAATTGTTGAAATCTGAATAGGTTATATGGCAGTACCAATGTCAAATCCTATATCTATAAATCATAACTCTGAAGTTGACTATCGGGTTGATGTTCTACATGACCCTCAGATTAAGCATATGCAACTAAGATCCTCATACATGCTCCACAAATCAGCACCTACTTACATTTCATAACTACAGTGAGTGTAATCATCTATGACTTTCCACACCAATACTAATAAAAGGGGAAAATGCTATTTAGACAGATAATTAGACCAGACATCTTCCAGACATCCTTCCTGACAAAGCTGAGCCCTGGCAAAGCCGCCCACTCTGCAGTCCTGGGTGCCTGCGCCTGCGGCCCGGGAGAGGGAGAAAAGCCATCCACCCACAGTCCCGGGCGCCTGGCCCAAGTGAAGCCAGCCCGGGTCCCAGGTGCCTGGGGCCAGCCAGAGGGAGGGAATCCTGGGTCCAGGCTGCGAGGCCAAGACAGAGGCATATAGGGATGATCAGGCTGGCAGGGGAGCAGTTAGGGATGATCATGCCAGCAGGCAGAGGGGTTAGGGGCGATCAGGCAGTCAGGCAGGTATTAGGGGCGATCAGGCAGGCAGGCAGAGGTGTTAGGGGCAATCAGGCAGGCAGACACGTGTTAGGGGCGATCAGGCAGGCAGGCAGGTGAGCGGTTAGGAGCCAGCGGTCCCGGATTGTGAGAGGCCTAAACCAGCTGTCGGACATCCCCCAAGGAGTCCTGGATTAGAAAGGGTGTAGGTCGGGCTGAGGGACACCCCCCCTCCCCGCACACAAATTTCATGCACCGGGCCTCTAGTTTATTATATTACACATTCCATGAGAGCAGAACTTTTTCTGTTTTGTTCACTCCCGTATAGCCAATGAGTAGAACAGTAACTGGCATCTAGATCATACTCAATAAATTTAAGTGAATGAATACATCTAATCAATTTTATAAGCCTTTCTAATTCAATCTCATCAGTAACTTTTCTAATAGTCCTTTTCTTTCTATTCTTATTACTAATTCCTATTAATAAACTATACCTTAATTATTGAAATAATCTCTTAAATGGTTCCTCCTCTAATTTTCTTGCCAGCAATCCCAGTCACACTATATTTTTAAATGGTGATTCTCCTGAAACACCTATCAGAGTTATGATTTATAGATACAGGGTTTGACATTGGTACTGCCATATAACCTATTCAGATTTCAACAATTATATATACACTCGTGTGTGTGTGTGTGTGTGTAGTTTTATGTGGAAGTATCACAAATGTAGCCTTGCATAACTACCCCACAGTCACGACACTCAACTATACCATAACCACAAGCCTCTTTCATGTTTTCCTCTTATAATAACAGTCATCTCCTCTCCCTATACTTACTAACCCCGGGCAGTCACTAATCTGTTCTCTATATCTGTGATTTCAGCAATATTGCATAAATGTTATCATGTAGTATGTGTTTTTTTGAGATTTCTTTTACACTCAGCATACTTTTCTTGAGGTTTATCCAAGCTATTCCATGTGTCAAAAGTTCAGTTCCTTTATCTTACTGAGTAGTATTCCATGGTATGATCATAGGGAACACATGCACCCCTGTTTTCATAGCAGTATCATTTACAGTAGTCAAGATCTGGGAACAGCCAAAGTTCCCATCAGTAGATAAGCAGATAAAAAGATGTGGTACATTTACACACTGGAATACTATGCAGCTGTAAGAAAGAAGGAACTCTTAACCTTTGCAACAGCACAGATGGACCTGAAGATTATTATGCTAAGCAAAGTAAGTCAATCAGAGAAAGGCAAATATCACATGATCTCACTTATATGTGAAACCCAATGAATAAAATAAAATGATGAACAAAATAATGTTTATTAAAGAATATCTTAATATGTATAAGAACATAGAAGGAATATGTTTAATAAGCATTTTATGGTTGGCAAACCTGACAATTTGGACAATAAACTTTTAAAACAACTCTCATAATTTATAACATAATCATGAAATAAAATGACTTCCATAATCCAAAATATTACTTGGAAATTGAGTCATCTTTATTGGAAGTATCTTAATTTTCTCTTAAATGTTCACTGTACCCTTTTCCCTACACTCTAATAAATCCAGTATTATCATATCCTTCTCCAAATCTCACCTAGCTTTGACCTTCAACTCAGGCTTCCTGGCAAAGCTCTACAATCCTACAAATAGAACTAGCAGTGAGTATAATTTATATTCTCTGTGGTAGTCCACAGGTGTGACAACCCAACACTTATCAACGGAACAAAATCTGAAAAGTGTATTTTTATCCCTGTTTTCTGAAATCTTTAAAATATAGGGGAAACAAAACCAGAACTGGTTGATTATAAACTAAGTTATTACTCCAAGGTCCTGAAGTTCAGAGGTACTCAAATTGTTTATGGGAATCGGGCATCTAGAGGTGTGTTCAAACCAGGTAAACAATAGATTGGAACTGGTGCACTAATAAAACTGATTTTAAAAATCCTGACATTAATGTAAGCATTTCCCATAATAGCTATACTATCATCACTTTTGTGCCAATAAATATTTTATAGGACAAAACATTCTCTAGTCTACATACTGCTCTTCACGTGCAAACAAGAATTAAACGCTTAAAGAATGTCAGGTAAAACAAATATTACAATTAAAAATTATTACGGATTGACAGAAGCCCCAAAGAGATGAAGCACCATGTAAAGATTTCGAATAAAACATTACTGATAGAGCTAGTATAATTTTGACTATGCGGTTTTTTTCAGTTTGCAAATGTTTTCACTGTTCAATGACTTACAAGTAAGACTATTAAAATCTTTAAGTTCCTATTTAGCAAGGGATAATCATATATTCATACCAAATATTTAAAAGTAAAGAAAAACACATACCAAAACTTTGTCCACCACAATATGCATTTCTAGATAAAGAGGAATTAAATCTTGAACAGCTGATTCTGACTAGAGAGAAAAAAATGGTATTTAAAAACATAAAAGCTTTTATAAATTGTTTATTCTAAACTTTTTTTAAATATATTTTATTGATTTTTTACAGAGAGGAAGGGAGAGAGATAGAGAGCCAGAAACATCGATGAGAGAGAAACATCGATCAGCCGCCTCCTGCACATCTCCTACTGGGGATGTGCCCGCAACCCAGGCACATGCTCTCGACCGGAATCGAACCTGGGACCTTTCAGTCCGCAGGCTGGTGCTCTATCCACTGAGCCAAACCGGTTTTGGCTATTCTAAACTTTTACATCTTTTTCCATCTTCATTCAGGCATGGTTGACATAAAGCTGCATTTAAGGTGTAATACTTGTTGTCTATATAGTAGGTCTTCGGATTACGTCGGAGATCGATTCCTACAGCGTGACTTAACGCGATTTTCGCTGTAAGTCGGAACCGACCTGCATAAGCACCTACCTCACTCACATGGAGCACATACACAGCAGTAATGAAGTGAAACAGTAAAAAAAAATTTTAAAGAAAGAAAACAATTCCTGACCTTTACTTGTGGTAAATAATAAAAAACATAAAGCACACATGTACATATGTCAAAATAACATTTTTTTTAATAAATAAATGGGAGGTGGCGACGTAACCACGAGTCCGACATAACCCAAGGACTGCCTGTATATGTATACACTAGAGGCCTGGTGCATGAAATTCATGCACTTGGGGCGGAGGCATCCCTCAGCCTGGCCTGTGCCCTCTCGCAGTCCGGGAGCCCTTGGGGGATGTCCGATTGATGGCGGGGAGCAGGCCTAAGCCACGGCAGCCGGACATCCTTAGCGGTGCTGTGGAGGCAAGAGAGGCTCTCGACGGCCATGAGCCCAGCTTCTGGCTGAGCGGTGCTCCCCCTGTGGGAGTGCAATGACCACCAGGGGGCAGCTACTGTGTTGAGCATCTGCCCCCTGGTAGTTAGTGAGTGTCATAGCGACTGGTCATTCTGCCGTTTGATCGATTTGCATATTAGCCTTTTATTATATAGGATTGTGAAATAATTGGCAAAATAAAGCTAATTACCATATCTACTTCACATAGTTACCATTTTCTTTCTTGTGGTGAGAACATGTAATATCAACATTCTTAGCACATTTCAAGTTTATAATACAGTATTGTTAACTATAGTCACATTACTGTATATTAAATCTCCAGAATCTATTCTTTCTGCATAACTACAACTTTGTACCTTTTGAACAACATTTCCCCAATTTTCTTTGTCCCCACCCCCTGGCAACTACCATTCTGCTCTTTGTTTCTATGAATTCAATGATTTTAGATTCCACATGTAAGCGAGATCACACAGTATTTCTGTTTTTCTGTTTCTGGCTTATATCACTTAGCATACTACATACATCCATGTTGTCACAAGTGATAGGATTTTCTTCATTTTTTCAAAGCTGAGTGATATTCTAGAGTGTGTGTGTGTGTGTGTGTGTGTGTGTGTGTCATTTCATTTTCTTTATCCCTCATCCATCAATGGATATTTAGGTTGCTTCCATATCTTGGCTATTGTAAATAAAGTGCAATAAAAATGGGAGTGCAGATATTTATCCAAGATACTGATTTCATTTCCTAGGATATATTCCCAGAGGCAGAACTGGTGAATCATATGATAGATCTATTTTTAATTTTCTGAGTAACCTCCATACTGTTTTCCAATAGAGGCAGTACCAATTTACATTCCCACCAAGACTTATTATTTCCTGTCATTTTTATAATAGGCATTCTAACAGGTGTGAGGTGGTATCTCATTGTGGTTTTGATTGACATTTCTCTGATGATTAGTGATGTTGAGCAATGTGTGGTGATGGATGTTAACTAGACTTATTGTGGTGATCATTTCATAATATATGCATATGTCAAATCATGATGTATGCTTTACACTAACACATTATTTATTATATGCCAATTATATGTCAATACAACTGAAATAAAATAATTTTAAGTATAAACACATTTTTTAAAAAGTCACAGATTGTAGATGTTAAAAGCAAAAGCACCAAGACAGAATGTCTCCCTCCCTCCCTGTATTTACAAAAACACAGTCAAAGGAGGCTTAAGGGGATCTGGCCAGAGCACTAACACTGTCCACTACAGCAGATAATTTAAGCTACTGTGAATTACCCTCCTAAATTCCCAGAAGGAAAAGAGAAAAGTTAGTATTCAGTTTACAGAATTTCATTTTAAATTATATACATATATGTAATAGCACTGAACTCTTCAGTGCTGCACCTTACTTTTACTGTACATTTGATTCCTATTATTATTTTGGACATAGGATTGGAAGCTATGACAGATACACACAAGTAACAGAAGGTCAAACATATTGGAGTTTCTTTCTCTCACATAAAATTCTGAAAATGGTGTTTTTGTCTTGTAAGTTCTTCAGGAGAAAGGCTCATTCTACCTTAATGCTCTGCCACACATGATATCCTCCTTGACCTTGTGGACTAGGGTGTGTCAACAAGTCCACAATGCGGCCAACGGGATAGGGGAGAAGAGTATAAATCCCCTTCCTTTAGAATTCAATCCAGACATATTATATAGTACCTCTGCCCATATGTCATTAGCCATAACTTTATCACATGGCCTTACCTAAATGCAGGGAGGTTGAGAAATGTCTTTTGTTGCATGCCCAGCTAACCGCTGAGGGGTTTTATTTTTAAAAACTGGCAGAAAATGAGAACATGTACTGTAAACAGCTAGCGATGCCCTATACCTCTTCAATAAGCTATGCATATTTATGCCATTTTCACCTGCCACAGAATTTTTCTTTCTCACAATTACTTTTACAAGGACCAAAACATGCAGTTATATAGGGTGTACACTGAACAATTTACATGGCTACACATGACAATCCTGATTATGACATTTTAATTATATCTATAATTTCATTAATGCTGACTCTTCGGTTATAAATGCAACCTTTGTAAATATTGGCTTTATTAAATAAATATAGAAATAAACATACAGAAATTTATTAAATAAATATACAGAAATATAGAGATAAAAGTAGAAACTGAAACACACTAGCTAATTTTTAGAAAGTTATAAGAAACAAAATAAGAATTAAAAGTAAAGGATAGATTGTTGCAAGCAGGAAATGCTGATATATGCTGCTTTTCATTCAAGGAAAATTATAAAAGGCTAAGAAAAGATGAGGCTGTTCTTAAGGAAAGTATTTTTGCTATAACTATACATGAGGTTAATAAATTTCTTTTTTAAAATAAATTTTAAATGCAGTAACTATCTTGAAAGTAGTAATAAAGCATATGCAACTTACTTTTTCACTTATGGAAATGCTGTAGTCCATTGGTTTTTGTTCTAGGCCACGGCTATTTTCAGCATGAACTACAAACACATTGTTTTCATTTTTTAATTTATAAAGAAGATGCTGAAATTCAACTTCAACTTCCAGAGGTTCAATTCCATAAGAAACATTTTCAAGTTGCAGCAATCCTCTGTAAAAGTAAGGATAACAAACAAGAGCTTTTAGTCAATTTTATAAAACTGACAGAATCAAAGAAGGAGAAAATACATACCATCTTTGAGTATAATATTTTGACCCAAAACCTTTATATTTGGGATATGACTCTGAAGAGACAAAACATCTCCAAACCACAAAATTAACTTCCCATTTCACTTTCTTTATGATTATAAATGCAGCAGAAATTATGCAATCAGTGCTAGGTATAGTGCACAGCATTAACAATGATCAAGTAGTTCCCCATCTTCCAAGTCAGTGACTTTAAGAAGGCAATATAGAAATCATGAATTTTTCTCTGGTTTGTACTGCCTTAAAAAAATGATTGCAGTGCTAATATAACTAAACTAGAGGCCCAGTGCACATATTTGTTCACCAATGGGGTCCTTCAGTCTGGCCTGTGTCATCTCACAATCTGGGATCCCTCAGGGCATATCATAGTAATGCAGTGAAGCAGCAGGCAGCTGGGGAGGAGCCCGAGCCCAGACCGAGTGCCACTCCCGCTCATCCTGGCCCCACTGCACCTGCCGCCACATGCTCAGTAGCACTGCTATGGAAGCGGAAGCGGGAGAGGCTAGTGCAGCTGTAGCAGCACTCGCCAGCCATGAGCCCGGCATTTGGCACCCGCTGGTCAGCAGAGAGGCGCTCCTGCTATGGGAGCACACTGACCACCAGGGGGCAGCTCCTGCATCTAACGTCTGCCCCTGGTGGTCAGTGCGCATCACAGCAACCAGTCAAATGGTCGACCAGTCGAACAGTTGACCGGTAGTTTAGGGTTTTATATAAATAGCAATTTTATTTAAAAACAAAATTTCACAGTAGTTATGAAAAGGTATTTATTTTGTTTGTGCATATAGCCTAATAAGTAATTTAAAGCAAGATTTTAAAGAGTAAAACAACTTTTGTAACTCTTCTTCCCTGAATACAGGTAACAGTTCAAGTGACTACTCCCGGAAAAAAACAAATTTCAGGGCTACATGTAAAAGCACAGAGGGACTTTTTTTGTAAATCAAGGAACCTATGCTACCAATTGTGAATGAAAAATTTCCTGATATAATGGGAAACTCTTTAAGCACTAAGGATGAAACCCTACAATTCTTAGAGACTTTAAGACACTGATATTATTAGAAAAATGAATACCATATTAATAATTATTTGTTTATACAGAATTGACTTCATCTCTCTGAAAATAATTTTCCTTGAGAAAAGCATGCCTTGTTTATATTTATTTCTCTATATCTCCAAACATTGGCTAGTAGCTGGTACATGGAAGGTATCAAAATATTCTGTTTGCTGAAAAAAATAAGCTATCCTAAATTTAGCTTTTCAAACTTCCTGTAGTCAAGCATGTTCAACTGTCATTTCTGTAGTTAAGAAAAAAAATATATAGAGCAAGGATGCCAGAAAATCTAAATTTTCAAGGAGGTAAGAAATTATCTGGTCAGTGAAAGTAAAAGGACAGCAGAGTATAACTGAATAATTTCCACATGGGAATTTTCTTCCAGCTTCACACTTAATATCAACAAAACAAATCCAAAGCAGCCAAATATCATAACTATGATGTTGGCATATCAACAGTAGAAAATACATAACCGCAGTCCAGAGCACGTGCTGAGTATAACAATGGAATTTGGATATCCTTCAACATATCCTTCATAGTAGCACTGAGTCTAGAAAAGTAAAAAGTAAAGTGGTTACTTAGGAATTGAAAAAACTTTCTAATGATTTCTTATTTGATAAAATGTTCTGAATATTTTTCCAGGCTACACAATCTATATCAATATGAATAAAGCAATATTCAGATAAAAAGTCACCCATTTGCCACTTTTACTGTATGAACTACTCTTATCAGATTAATACTAGGGATTATCATCTTACATAATGCTTCCAAAATTAATTTCATATTTTTGGTAAAATTATTTCCCAGTATATAAATTTGGGTCATCAATTAAAAGACTAAAATTATGAATCTTAATTTCTTTTACATCTAATATTCTGCTAAAAGGAAACATTTAAAATATAAGGATATAGGAAGAATGAAGAACTAGAAAGAGATATAATAACAAAAACAAAAGGGTGATTTTGAAACTATACTAATACAAAAAAAGTCGACGTTAGGCAAAAAGCATGACTAGAGATAAAGAGGGACATTTCAAAATGATGTTTCAACTCACCAAGAAGATATAAGTACCCTAAATTTGTATTCCCTTAATAACACACCTTGAAAATATATAAAGTCAAAATTGAAAAAAATTCATAAAAATAGATATATATTTTTATAGTAAAAGGTTTTTAAACATACACTTCTGTCAGTAACTGATAAATCAAGCACTGAGAATTTATAGAAGATTTGCACAGCATGTTAACAACCTAATACAGATAGAACACTACACTTTCAAACTTGGATAACTGGAGAGCATTATGCTAAGTGAAATAAGCCAGTCAGAGAAAGATAAATATCACATGATCTCATTCATATGTGGGATATAATGATCAACATACTTTGATGAACAAGAATAGATCGATCTAGAGACAAATGGTAGGGGAGGGGGTTAGAGAGCAACCAGAGGACTTATATGCATGCATGTTAGCATGGCCAATGGACACAGACACTGGGGCGGTGGGGGCTTGCCTGGGCTGGGAAGGGATAGGGGAGGGGGTCAATTGGGGATAAAGGAGACATATGTAAAACTTTAGACAATTAAAAAAAACTGCAGAAAACACTTTCTTTTCAAATAACCTGGATCATTTACAAAAATGAAACCATATTCTGGCCACAAAACACAAGAATAAATTTTAAATTATTGCAATCATACAAAGTTTGGTCTCTGATCACCGCATAATTATGTTAGAGATCTAGCAAACATCGTCACAGAAAAAGGGGAATATTATATAATTTCCAAGATTCAATAGTGTTATAACGTTTGGTAAAAATCAGTTTTAGATTTATTAACACATTGTTTTATGTTGGAGCCTAGGAGAGGAAAGAAGAAGAAAAGGAAACTGATGGTCCTATCCAATATAATAAAGTAACATAGTGTCCAATTCAATAATTCAACACATTTTTATTATACTAGTATGCTAACTATGTGTTAGTCATTTTTCTAGGTATTGGGGGTACATCAGTGAATAAAACAGAACAAAACCATGGCCTCATGAAAGATTATATTGCACTGGAGAAACAGAAAATAAAGTAAATAGACAAAATAGATGGCACATCATATGTTGATACCATTGGGGGGAAAACAAAACGGGTAAAATAAGAGAACTAAGGCTAAGAATGCAATTTAAAATCGGGGTTAGTCAAGGACTAATGGGGTGATTCTGAGCAAAGATCCAAAGTAAATGAAGGAGAAAAACATGTGCTATTTTGGAAAAGAGCAAACATCTGGCCCTAGCACGGTTTGGCTCAGTGGATAGAGTAAGGGCCTGCAGACCGAAGAGTCCCGGGTTCAATTCCTGGCAAGGGCACGTACCTGGGTTGCAGGCTCAATTCCAGCCCTGGTCAGGGCGCCTGCAGGAGGCAACCAATAGATGTGTCTCTCTCACATTGATGTTTCTCTCTGTCTCTCCCCCTCCCTTCCACTCTCCCTAAAAATCAATGGAAAGCAAACATCTGGATCAGAGGAAATAGAAAATGCAAAGTTCTTGAAAGAACATGTCTGGTGTGTCTGAAGAACAGCAGGGAGAGAAATATGATTGGAACAGGTAAGGTAGAGACTAACAGGAAATGAGGTCAGACAGGAGAAGAGGACCAAACTGTACAAGAGCTGTAGTATATTGAAATGACTCTGGTTTTCATTTTGTGAACATTAGGTGGTCATCCCATGGAAGTTCTGAGCAGAGAAGTGACTAGAGGCCTGGTGCACAAAATTCATTGATCCTATTGATTAGATTTCAATAGGATCAATCTGGTTGCTGTCTCAAGAACTGACTGAGGGGATGGCAAAGTGTGGAAGTAGAAAGATTATTAAAGTTCTGGCAATAATCTTTAATGATAACTTCCAGACTAAGCCGCGGTGGTGGAGGCCAAGGCAGAGGTGGTTAGGGGCAATTAGGCAGGCAGGGGAGCGGTTAGGGGCAATTAGGCAGGCAGGGGAGCGGTTAGGGGCAATTAGGCAGGCAGGAGAGCAGTTAGGGGCGATCAGGCAGGCAGGCGAGCAGTTAGGGGCAATCAGGCAGGCAGGCAGGCAAGCAGTTAGGAGCCAGCGGTACCAGATTGTGAGAGGATGCAGGCCAGGCTGAAGGACCCTTTCCCCCTTCTACCACGCTCCCCTGCACAAATTTTGTGCACTAGGCCTCTAGTCCAATTAAGTAAGATGCTTACTTGGAAAAGAGTGGTTCCAGTTGATGGAGACAGAGAAAGAGGGTAGATTACAGATATACTATAATTTAAAGGGTAGATTCAGTAGAATTTCTTGATGGATGGGAGAGGGTAGCTATTTTCAACCTTTTTTATCTCATGGCACCCATACACCAATTACTAAAACTCTGCAGCACAGAAAAAAAATACATTTTTTGCCGATCTGACAAAAAGATAGGAATAATTTTAATTCATTCAGACCAGATGGCCATTCTCGTGTTGGCAGCTGTCATATTTTATTTGATGATCTAAGGGAAAAGATATCACTGCCTCAGACTAAATAGTCAGGTATTGCATGTTTTAAAAATCAGTGTGGGCCCTAACCAGTTTGGCTCAGCGGACAGAGAGTCAGCCTGCAGACTGAAGGGTCCCAGATTCAATTCCGGTCAAGAGCATGTACCTTGGTTGCAGGCACATCCCCATTGGGGAGTGTGCAGGAGGCAGCTGGTCGATGTTTCTCTCTCATCGATGTTTCTAACTCTCTATCCCTCTCCCTTCCTCTCTGTAAAAAATCAATAAAATATGTTTTTAAAAAAATCAGTGTGGCACACTGGTTGAAAATCACTGGAATAGAGGGTACAAAAAGGAAAAGTTTTCAATCTATGATTTTATGTCCAGTAATATTTGTGTTTGTCTTATTAATTTTTATGTTCATTAAATCAACAAAATACAAACTAATTAATTAAGTGGTAATATGTTCTAGGCAGAGTAGAAGGTGTTGAGTCATTCTAATTTTCTTTAATTTACCAAGATTTCAGGAAAGTCTGAAATTAGGGGAAATTAGGCACACACAATAATGGATTCCTTAACTATGTCCCCTGTGAATAAAGTCTGCTGTATTAGAAAAGAATTTCTTCAACGTCATAAAAAGGTTTTTAAAAAATCTGTATAACATAGAACTTAAATCTTACCTGAATATTTGAAGAATGAGAATTCACAGATCCTTGTTTATACAAATAAACCATAAAATTCTCTGCTAAAAAAAATCTGAATGTAAAAAAGAATGAGAGAATTCTGAAAGTTATTCATTTTGAAACATATAAAGCAGCAGCAAGCAAGCTAACACCCTCAGACCAAATCTGACCCACCCTCCTCTGTGCTGGTAAATAGTATTATGGAAACACAGCCACAGCCATTGACTTCCGATGGTCAACGGCTGCTTTCCTGCTACAGCAGCAGAGTCTGGTCGTTTTGACAGAGTCTTATGCCCTCAAAGCCAAAACTATTTACTGTCTGGGCTTTAGAGAAAAAGTTTGCTAACCTCTGTTACAGATGATATTTTCTCTTGATGTTTATGTAATTTTTATTCAAAGGAATACACATTTACTCAAAGTACTTGTCCTATCTTAATGGACTCCTTTGAAGAAAATAGGGGAAAAGGAACTACAAGATGAGAGAAAAGCATTTCAAAATTTACAAAGATATGAGCTGGATGTAGGATTATGAGAGTTGTCTGTTCTTTCATTTTTCCTAAATTGTATTACCATGAATACACATTTCCTTTATAAAGAAGTGGAAGAGTATTGTGTAAAAGTCATACGAATCAGAACACAGGCACTAAAACTACATTCTAAGTTCAACCTTCTCTGGTACCGCTGCCTGTATTTACCATGTTATTTCAGTTAGCTCACTCCTCCATCCAATGTAACATAACCAGACCACCCAGACTAGTTTCTGCTGGGAATTCTTCACTAACACTGACCTCATACAGGTTACTTACCTAATGACCCTCTAGCTGTAAAATCCAAAAGGCAGTTTGAAGTCAAGTAAAACTACTGTAATGCACTTCCTATTGCTGACCACACTCCCCTTCTTTAAACCATCTACTCAACTTCAATCATACCATTTCCCCCTGGTTTTCCTCATATCGTTCTACTTCTGAAAATCCTTTCCTCTGGATCCTTGCTTCTTCTCTTAAATGTTTCTATGGCATTCATCTGTGGGTTGTTTTTCCTTCTCACCTTTAATATTCACCCCCACCTCTATAGATTTATCTTGTTTCTTTTTGGTGCTTCATTTATACTTAAATTAAAAAATGGCTTTAAAACCCACACCTCTCTTCCATGTTCTAGACCAGTGGTCGGCAAACTCATTAGTCAACAGAGCCAAATATCAACAGTACAACGATTAAAATTTCTTTTGAGAGCCAAATTTTTTAAACTTAAACTATATAGGTAGGTACATTGTTATTAACTTAATTAGGGTACTCCTAAGGCTTAGGAAGAGCCACACTCAAGGGGCCAAAGAGCCGCATGTGGCTCACGAGCCGCAGTTTGCCGACCACGGTTCTAGACCAAATCTACTTTCCAACTAGACATTACTCCTGGGATCTCCCACAAACGCTTCATAAACAACCTCTCCAAAAATGAGTCCATATTTGCCCTGACTCAGGTCTGTTCCCCTTCTCCTTCACTGCCCCCACTGAATCCCTGCCACAACTCACTCTATCTAATCCATTAGCTAATCTTTTTCCTGCCCCCTCAGTATTTCTAAAAAAAAAAAAAAAAGCCTTTCCTCTACACAGTCATAGTTCTGCTTCTCATTATTTCTCACATAAGTTATTTGCAATAACATAATTGGCATAATGCTGTCATAATCATTACGTAGGTAATTTCCCAAAACAATATACACATGCTCTATCCATATCCCATGCTCCAGTCCCTAAATTTCTTACCACTATTCATAGTCCTGATGAGTTGTTCAAATGCAATGTGAGTTCTCTCACTTTGCCTTTGACAGTCTTGAAAAGTTATTTGTGTTATCATTTACCATATTCTCCCCTCTGTCTATAGCAGTGGTTCTCAACCTTCTGGCCCTTTAAATACAGTTCCTCATGTTGTGACCCAACCATAAAATTATTTTCGTTGCTACTTCATAACTGTAATGTTGCTACTGGTCTGAATCATAATGGAAATATCTGATATGCAGGATGGTCTTAGGCAACCCCTGTGAAAGGGTCGTTCGACCGCCAAAGGGGTCGCGACCCACAGGTTGAGAACCGCTGCTCTATAGGAATAGTTTAATTCTTTTACTCAACACCAGTCTTTGGCAGCTTACACAATGAATCACTTGTTTACACATCTCTCTTTAAGAAACTTCCCCTCAGCCAAAAAACTTTGTTTCTTCTTTCTTTGAAAGCATTCATCTGACCTCCTCTTTCTTCTTTCTTTGCCCAATATTTTTGGTAAGTTATTTACACTTACTATTTTTGGTCTCAAATTATCCTCTCCTTCATTCCATGTAGTCTAGCTTTACACCCAAAATTTAACTAAAATTGACCTCTTGAAAATCACAAATTACTTCCTATCCAGCTTTTCACAACTGGGTTTCCATTAGAGAATTAAACCCTACAAAAGTTATTTCAATTATTTTCTCAATTCTCTGAAATATGATACAGAACTAGTACTATTTTCCATAAGCTATTCACTAGTTCCCACACAGTGTATCATCTAATTTCTGTATTAAATCTCTTATTCCATATCCTGATGGTGGACCTAACTCCCTGATCAAACCTTAATACAATCAGTTACAGACTTAGTTATTTTGATATCCTGCCTTGATTATACAGGTCCTGCTGGTTCCACCAACTTAAGATCTTATCAATTAAAGTTCAGGAGATGAGTCTCTATTTTTTTGTTTGTTTCTAAATCCCCTTGTAACAAAAGGCTAATTTCATGAAGCATTAGTACCAAAAATTTCATTAATTCACAGAAGAATATCCATTCATCTGAAACAACTAAAAATGTAATAACGACGATATTATTTTAAATAGCCCATTTTTATTACAAGTAAACAAATTCATATAAATAAAAGAAATCCAAAACTAAAGAATAAAAAATGTACCTTTGCTTAAGGTGAACAGTATATGGCTTCTCATTTATTGGAATAATATAAGATATCTGTTTCTAAAAAAAGATCCAAAAGAACTGAGAGTAAAGACAAATGAAATAGAAATAACAATTTTACACCAATTATTCCCTCCAAACAATGCTTAAAATGTCATTAAAATATCTCAAATTATGTGATTTTAAATCTGCAACAGCATATCAAAAAATGTAAAGACCAAAGGTAGATTAATGGTTTCTTAAATGAGTATTTCTCTAGCATCCTGAGGTTTCCGTTATATAAAAGTATTTACCAGTAGGTTTGTAAAATTGGTTCTTTGTACGAAGGACAGTCCTTTTTCACCTATCTAGATCTTTTCAAAAGTGGTGGAAATTGGCAGCTGAGGTACTATCAGTTTAGAATGATATTTGTCACACTCCAGATAAAATGCAGAATGTTATATAGTAGTACTTTATAAATATGGTTAAATGGAGCCATTTCTAGCCATTTTTATAGTTGTGATGCACAATGTAATGTAAATATGTATTCCTTCAGTAAAATTTGTATAGTTAATTGCCCATGATGATCAAAAAATGAGTGTTATCATTGGGATTATTTGAATGATTAGAATAAGATTCAGTGCCCATATCTTAACAGTTCAGTTATCGCCAGGGCCATTCTCACCCTTTTAGAGCGAGTCACATGCAGGGTATGTGAAACCAGGGGTGGTTTATTATCCAGTCTGCCTCATCCTGAACCTGTTCATAGCTATTTATTTACTAATGATTTTCTTATTAAGAGTTATGGGGTAAGAAAATGAAGTGCTTGCTCTTCATTTACTAAATAACTGTAAACTCAGGTTTTTCATCAAAATAAAAATTCCATTGTTTTATGTTTTAAAATGTTTAGCATTTATCTATTATATAATACATTCTATTTCCACACACAAAAACAGGCCCAATATGGGGACTTATACAGTATTAGAAATCTACATGTGACTGAATTTTAAGCTCTTCTAAAAGAAGAGCCTACATGCTCTGCTGGAATGTCTACTTAGGTGGCATCATTGGGATAAGAAGATATGTCTGTATCAGTGAAACTCACTCCAGTAGCTACAAAAATCATTTCAACCATTGGTCTAAAATGTATGGCCTGTTTCCTATATTTTTTTGAATATGTTATTGATTTCAGAGAGAGGAAATGAGAGGGAGAGAGAGTGAGGAACATCAATGAGGAGGGAGAATTATTCATTGTCCACTTCCTGCACAACCTAGCCTGCAACTTGGGCATGTGCCCTGACCAGGAATCGAACCGTGACCTCCTGAGCCACACCAGCTGGGCTTGTTTCCTATATTTTTAAACAGGAAATCCTTGAACAAAATTTGTACTGTTTTCAGCTCTATCACTACTTTTTTAAAAGTTAAAACATGGTGGCAATCCTATCTAATAAAAGATTAATATGCAAATTAATCATCACTTTGCGATAAAGATGGTGGCGCCCACAGCCAATAAGGAGGGAGTATGCGAACTGACGCAACAAAGATGGCGGCGCCAGCCAGAGCCACAGAGCCAAGCCCGGCGAGGGGGCGAGGGGGGGCAGTTGGGGGCAATCAGGCCACACATAAATGTTATGTCCACACATAAATGTTCATAACAGAATTATTCTAATAACCAATATCTGAAAACAATCCAATGTCTATCAAGTGGTAAATGGATGAACAAACGTTAACCACATCTATTAAGAAATAATCATTAATGCCCTAGCCAGTTTGGCTCAGTGGATAGAGCACTGGCCTGTGGACCAAGGGGTCTCAGGTTTGATTCCGGTCAAGGGCATGTACCTCGGTTGCAGGCTCCTCCCCGGCCTGAGACTTGGCCGGGGCGAGTGCAGGAGGCAACCAATCGATGTGTTTCTCTCACATCAATACTTCTCTCTGTCTTTCCCCATCTCTTCCACTCTCTCTAAAAATCAATGAAAAATATCCTCCAGAGAGAATTTTATAAAAATAAAAGAAATAATAATTAATAAACTACTGATCAGTGCTACCAAATGGACAAACCTAAGTGAAAGAAGCCAAATGAAAAATATACACATCATGTATTTTCATGTATATGAAACATCCAGAAAAGGCAAAATTATAGAAACAAAAACAAACCAGCAGTTGCCAAGGGCTGAGAATGGAAGCAGGGAAAAACTGCAAATAAGCATGAGAGGACTTCTTATGACAACTGAAATGTTCTAAAAGTAGACAGTGTAAATTTATATAATTCTATTTATGTACTAATAATCACTGAGCTGTATACACTTACAAAGGGTGAATTCTGTGGGGTGCAAACTATGTCTTAATAAAAGTGTTAAAACTAAAGTGTTATCAAAGTATTGACCATTTATAAGCGAGGCTTGATTCATTGTATTTCTTTTTTTTGATCTCCTAAGACACTTAGCATAAAGCTATACACACTAGTCCAGTTAAATATTTGTTAAATAGATTGATGAAGATAAATTACCTTCCTTTCTGACAAAAATAACAGAATAAAACGCTTACTCTCTCTCTCTGAGAACTGGTAGATGCGGTGGTAAAGATTGAGGCAGGAGGCTTTAATTAAAAGAGATTCTTCATAACTGTCTTGGAGAAATGTATTCTCCTCATATGAATCATCGAGATATCACTCAGATAAGACCCTATTTCTTCTACATTGTTTTCTGGATTTGAAGTTTTAGTAGTTTGCCATAAGGAAATGACAAATATTAAACAAACAGAACATCCTAATGTAAATATTTGATTTTACCATAAAAACTTTAAATTCCTTTTTAGAAGTAATACCAGGAACATATTCATACTTTGTAAGGTTGATATATTTCATCACTATACAATAAAATAAGAAATTTATATAATAATATTGATTGTGAAAAATATATCTTACGTTTTCTACTTCTGAATTATTACTTGTATTTTCTTGGATTTTCTCTGGAACTACAATCTGTAGAGACGAATTTTGAAAATCTTAAGAAATAAAAGAAAACAGTTAGTAACCGTGTCTTAAACCTAACTAAATATTTGTTGATGTTGTTTTGTAAGATTCACTTATGCAAATATGAGTTATCACTGTATATTCCTATAATAATCTTTAAAACAATTTAAAAACAGACAAAATAGTTATAAGACGCCATAAAAAGCACAGGGGAAAGTATCAACTTACACAAAATTTGCCGTTCCCAGAAAACAGAATAGAGCAAAAATAATCAAAGATAAACTTCAAGAAAACTTTCCTGAACTAAAATACTTGAAACAATAGACTAGAAAGTATTATAATAAAAAAACAATAATAATTAATTAAAATTCAAACTATTCTACTAAAATTATTGGTTGCCTAAAACAAAGAAATAATTCTATGGGCATATGAGCAAAAAGAAAAAAAAGTCATACTGAACATACAAGGAGAAAAGTAAACTGGCTTGTGAATTTCTTACAACAGTTTTCAATGTTAAAAAACTGAATAACAATGTCTTTTTTAAATCTTCATGAAAAAAATATGGAACCAGGAATTTTTTTACCCAGCAAAACTGTTATTGAAATATGGAGTCAAAAGATAGATATTTACAAGCAAAATCTCAAAGGAGTATAGTTCACATGTGCCTGTCATACGAGGCAAATGGACTTCTCCCAATAAAGCTATCAACAGATTTGAGGGGAAAGGTCTAGTAGTAGAGAGCATTAAATAAACTTAAATATAGAATAAAGGTTAAAACTGTGGGAATTGTGGTTATTTAATAAAATGCAAATGTTATAAACGATGATTATGTAGGCATAATAACACATACAACAAAGTACAGCAAACAGGGACACCATATGTGCATACTGATTTCCTTAAATGTATTGCAGCATGGTCCAAAAAGTGTGACTTAAAGCTGAAAATCAAGTGGTGTATCAAAAACATATTGTTTAATGATATAAAGGTATAGAAGAACTAAAACCATAGTCATGTAATAAAAGGGACAGCAGGCCATAGGAAGAAGTAATAAGATACTAAATTTCCTAAGCACTCACAGTGAGGAATCACTAGTTACTACTTAAATGAAGGAGTAACTCTATTATATAAAACAGATTAAAAATATAACAAATAAAGAGAAGAAAGAATACACAGGGACCCAAAAAGTAAAGCAAGTTACAGATTTTTATGGTAAAAGACTTTTTACTAAAACAAAAGCATGAAATCAATAATGTATGGCATAAATAAGAATCACTCAGATTTAAAATCTGTCATATCAATAAATGGAAGTAGAATGAAGTGACCAACTAAAGGAAAAATCCTCGGACTGGATGCACACAATCAAAACCCAATTATTTAGACCTGTGAAATAACAAATACTGGATCTAAGCTAACCCTAAATTTTGAAGACCTAAAATATGACTGTGGTTCACTTCAGCAAAAGATGTATGCTTACCAGGAAAAGTCAGGTGATTAATGGAATTTAGGTTCAGATCAATGCATGTACTCATGGGTCTACTAGTCAATCCTATCATAAATTGCCCAATTATGCAAGTGTGTGGAAATCGATCTAACCAATAACTTGTGGAATCCCCATCTAGCCTACCTAACCTACAGGATGAGGATTATTACAGTAGGAAGGGCCGGACAGAAACCTCTGAATATCTTTGCACCATCACCAAACCAAACGTCTTTCTGAACCCAGAAAGCAGTCCCACTATGAAAAGATTTAGAATATACAAGGGCAGTGACCTCTATTATATTCCCATTTTATTTGTTTGATCTGTGCAAATGATTTAATAGAGAATGAGCTGTTGTAAGTTTTATCAGTTGATGGCTGAAATAACAAACACTGTTCCAAGTAAGGTCTCTTTACTGAAGCAAATGAACATGGCCATTGGCACCGATAGGTTAATGACATACAGAGGTGCTGACAGAGAAAGGTGCCATTTTCTCTGTCCCAATAAGCAGAGAATTGCCCCGGCAAGTTGGCATTTTCACCTGGCAGCATACCCTCACCATCCATCTGGCCTCGGGTCATATATATATATATTGATTTTTTTACTACAGAGAGTAAGGGAGAGGGATAGAGAGAAACATCGATGTTTATCGAACAGCTGCCTCCTGCACACCCCCTACTGGGGATGTGCCCGCAACCATGGTACATGCCCTTGACCGGAATCGAACCTGGGACCCTTCAGTCCGCAGGCCGACGCTCTATCCACTGAGCCAAACCGGTCAGGGCACGGCCTCAAGTCTTTATCGTCTCTGGTTCCGCTTCTAGAGTCTAGGTACCACACTGGGTGGGAGACAGAATAATCCTCCCCAGGAACCTGTGAACCTTCAATCGCATGGCAAGTGGTAACTGAGAATTGAGCTGGCTGGCCAGCTGACCTTTAAGTACAGGGAATATCCTGGATTACCTGTAATTTAATTCCAATGAGAAGGAACCTCACCAGAAGAAGAGGGGGCATAGAAGAGCGAACCCCCGAGATGGCAGTGTGCAAAGAGCTCAACCCAATGCTCCTGGCCTTGCTCATGGAGGAAAGGGGCCACACGCCAAGGCATGCAAACGGGCACCACAGCCTCCGGGAGCGAGGAGCGCCGGTTTGTGGGCTTTCAGTGCAGTGTCGGGGTGCGTTTGCGGGGGGCAATGTTGAGGCGCTTTGGCGACGCGCAGGGCAGACCTACACGCCAGGGCCAACCTCGGAGTCGGGATGTGTCCTTGAGCTTTTTAAAATCCGCCCCCGCTCGCGTGAGTCACTGGGAGGCTGGACGCACCCAGCTGCCGGGCGACAGGGCGAACGAACCTCCACGGCCCGCAAGGACCCCGGGTTCCCATCGGGTCGGGCGGCAGGGGGACGGCAGTCCCTGGGACCCGTGGAGAGAAGGAGAAACACCTCCCTCCGCTGCAGACGGACCGGCCGCCCGGCTTACCGGGACTTGCCCGCAGCAGAGCACCGAGGCCCGCGAGCAGCACCACCGAGCGGAACATGCTGGCTCTTCTCCGCTCCGCAGCGGCCGGGCGTCCTGTGCGGCCGTTGGGCGGTGCCTGCGGGCGCCGCTGCGAGCCCCGGGGCGGGCGCATCCGCACGCTCAGTTTGCGCGGTCCCCTGCACGTTTCACCGCACGTTCCCCCGGCACGCTCCCCCCCCCCCCCGCACGCTCCCGCCCCGCACGCTCCCGCCCCGCACGCTCCCGCCCCGCACGCTCCCCACTACATGCTCAGTTTGCGCCGTTCCCTGCACGTTTCCCCGCACGTTCCCCGCACGTTCCCCGCACGCTCAGTTTGCGCCGATTAAAGTGCCGGCCGCTTTAGGATCAGCCCGACCCTAAACTCAATCTCCTGGTTTTCCAACCCAGCCACTCCTGCCGGCAGTCAACGCCCAAACACCTGTCCTTCCTATGGATGGACCTGGAAGAACTATCACGCCTGTTAGTGATGTTTTGTAGCAGACGCGTCTAGGTGCCTGGGAAGTGTAATCCTTTCTGAATTTCAAGCTATACACTATCAGTGGTCGGCAAACTCATTAGTCAACAGAGCCAAATATCAACAGTACAACGATGGAAATTTCTTTTGAGAACCAAATTTTTTAAACTTAAACTATATAGGTAGGTACATTGTTATTAACTTAATTAGGGTACTCCTAAGGCTTAGGAAGAGCCACACTCAAGGGTCCAAAGGGCCGCATGTGGTTCGAGAGCCGCAGTTTGCCGACGACGGCACTGGATGATTGGGTGAAGATGTGGTGCATAGACAATGGAATACTACTCAGCTATGAGAAAAGGTGAAATTCTGCCATTCGTGACAGCACGGGTGGGTTTTGAGAATGAAATGTGAGGCAAAATGTCAGACAGAAAAAGTTAAGAATCACATGATTTCACTCGTAACGTATAAAATTGAAGGCAACAAATGAACAAACAAGTAAAACAAACAAACACTCACAAACACAGACAACAACGTGGTGGTTACCAGCGGGAAGGAGTGTGGGGACTCATAAAGGATCAAGGGCGTCAAATCCAAGGTGAGGGGAGATCTGACTTTGGTGGTGGGCACACAGTGCAATATGCAGATGATGTACCATGGAGTACACTTAAAACCTATTTAATCTTATTAACCACTGCCACCCAAAAAAGTTTAATTTTAAAAAAATGAAAATTTAACAAAACTATAACAACAGATCCAGAGACAGAGAAGCGTCGATCAGACTGTCAAACCTCAGAGGGAAGGTAGGGGAGGGTGGAGGTAAGGGGGAGAGATCAACCAAAGGACTTATATGCAAGCATATAGGCCTAACCCATGGTCACAGACACCAGGGGGTGAGGGCATGAGTGGAGGTGGATGGGGGGTAATGTGGGGATAAGGACACAT